ATCTAACTATCAAGACATATGGAATCTAACTCAAGGAAGCGGGCTCAAAATTACTTATGCGGTAAACCATTTGGTCTATTAATTCAAAAGATGATAATGAAATTGATGCAGAAAAACATCAACGTAAAAACGGGCTCCAGGTCACTGCAGCCCAACCTGATACAGTAATCTATTAACGAGTATTCAAAAAGCAGCTAAAGGAATTGTATTCATTCAATCCCTTAGGTTGAACCGTGTCCAGGTAATGAATCCAGAATGTCTCTTTTTGCAACAAAATCTTGGATCTGTCACCCCCTCTAATCAAAGGAGGAATGTGATCAATCACGATGAACTTGAGGGTTGGTAAACGGTGTTGAAATTCTAAAAAGTGTTTTGCCACCGGCTTGTCAGTCTTGCCATCTCTAAATGCCGTCATAATTCCCGATCTATGGCCTCTTATGCGGTCTCGGACTGTCATATCCGTCTTGCCCACATAATATTTGCCACAAGGGCAAGAGATCAAATACACAACATGATCACTTAAACAGGTCAAACGGTGTTTAATTTGAATCCGTTTGCCTGTATGTGGATGTGCAAAAGACGAACCTGTCAGCATATGACCACAGGTAACGCAACCTGAACACTTGAAGCAACCTTTCTTTGTGTTTTCCTTTTGAGGATTATAATAACTCGGCAAGTCTGTTCTCACCAAAATATCTTTTAAGTTCCTATTGCGTGAGAACGCAATACGTGGTGATTGTAAAAAAATGGGATTCAATGTTCTATCAGAGGATAGAATATCCCATCTCTTTTTGATATTTTGTGAAAATCTTTGACTTTCAGAATGGAACATAAGTGGAATCGTGATCATCGGAGTGGTTTGATGTTGTTTAGTTTCTGTTCCTTCAAAGATTTTCTTCGCCTTCTCAAGGCAATTCTGTAGAACTTCTTTTTTAAAAAACTAACCTTTGATCCTACAGATAAAATCAGCACCAAAATACACAATTGGATTCAGTTGGGTGTCACAGCAAATTGGATTGATCATCATACGGCAGAATTTTTATTAAATAAACACCCGAAAATTCCGATACTGTACACCCTACCGAAGATACACAAAGATCCTCAAAACCCTCCGGGCAGACCTATAGTATCTGCTCGGGGGGGAGTATTGGAGCCGGTGGCTAAGTTTGTAGATTTCTTTTGTAAACCCACAGTGGCACGGTTACCCACTTGTTTAAAGGATACTCAAGATTTTCTCAACAAAATCAAAGATTGCAAACTCGCAGATTCTCAGTACATCTTTGCTACGGCAGATGTTAAGAATCTGTATACTGTGATTCCTCACACTAAGGGCATAGAAGCAATGCGCACTCTTCTTTCCAAATCAGAAGTTTATGAAGGGCCTCCAGTTGAATTCCTACTTGAAGGATTATTTCTTACATTGTCTAATAATTATTTCCGTTTTGAGAAAAATTTTTACATCCAAGAAACTGGCACAGCCATGGGATCGGCAATAGCGCCTACATATGCCAACAGTTTCATGTTTGCATACGAAAATACACATATATTGTGTAAATATCAAGAGCAATTAACATCATACCACAGATTTGTGGACGACATTTTTATTTTGTGGAAAGGCACGATAGAGGAGCTGGAAACTATGGTGGTTGAACTTAACAATCTTGATTCACCAATTAGACTAACTCTCACACACAACACTGAGAAGATTCAATTTTTGGATGTTGAAGTATTTCGAAAGGATCAAGGCATAGCATATAGGCTGTACAGAAAACCATCTGATCGTAATACCTTATTGCATGCAAACAGCTCTCATCCAAATGCTTTAAAAAACTCTTTACCTATCTCACAATATATAAGAGTGTTTAGAAACAATTCAGAAGAAATCAGCTGTAATACACAACTTCAGGATATGACCAGTTCTTTTTTAGAGCGGGGATATAAAAAAGAAGTTCTACAGAATTGCCTTGAGAAGGCGAAGAAAATCTTTGAAGGAACAGAAACTAAACAACATCAAACCACTCCGATGATCACGATTCCACTTATGTTCCATTCTGAAAGTCAAAGATTTTCACAAAATATCAAAAAGAGATGGGATATTCTATCCTCTGATAGAACATTGAATCCCATTTTTTTACAATCACCACGTATTGCGTTTTCACGCAATAGGAACTTAAAAGATATTTTGGTGAGAACAGACTTGCCGAGTTATTATAATCCTCAAAAGGAAAACACAAAGAAAGGTTGCTTCAAGTGTTCAGGTTGCGTTACCTGTGGTCATATGCTGACAGGTTCGTCTTTTGCACATCCACATACAGGCAAACGGATTCAAATCAAACACCGTTTGACCTGTTTAAGTGATCATGTTGTGTATTTGATCTCTTGCCCTTGTGGCAAATATTATGTGGGCAAGACGGATATGACAGTCCGAGACCGCATAAGAGGCCATAGATCGGGAATTATGACGGCATTTAGAGATGGCAAGACTGATAAGCCGGTGGCAAAACACTTTTTAGAATTTCAACACCGTTTACCAACCCTCAAGTTCATCGTGATTGATCACATTCCTCCTTTGATTAGAGGGGGTGACAGATCCAAGATTTTGTTGCAAAAAGAGACATTCTGGATTCATTACCTGGACACGGTTCAACCTAAGGGATTGAATGAATACAATTCCTTTAGCTGCTTTTTGAATACTCGTTAATAGATTACTGTATCTGGTTGGGCTGCAGTGACCTGGAGCCCGTTTTTACGTTGATGTTTTTCTGCATCAATTTCATTATCATCTTTTGAATTAATAGACCAAATGGTTTACCGCATAAGTAATTTTGAGCCCGCTTCCTTGAGTTAGATTCCATATGTCTTGATAGTTAGATTCTGTGTGGAACATTTTGAAATTTATTTTTATTGAAATTGATTCCCATCACATACTAGTAATATTGTGATCGGTTCTGATATGTATAGCTTTCGCAATGTAGCTTTATATGACCCATTTTGAATGTTTTGGAATATCTCATATTTCAGGGTTTTCACATATCTGGATTAGATAACAGTGTGGTGAGGGTTAGCCATATTGGTGCAGTTTCTTTGGAGGTATTTCTGGTCATTTCTTCATGGTAGTTTCTGCTATCACTTCACTACTTCAGAGATTTGTTTTCTTCTTCTTCTCTTTTTTGTTTCGTTTTATTGTTTGGTTGTTTTCACTTTTTTGATAGGTTCGAATTATATATTTGGATCCATACATTTTCAGATTCACATAGTCTCATTACAGTTTCACTTTAGTCACCTGTAGCATCACACATTACATACCTCATCACTTTTACATCTGTGATTTTTGTACATCTACACATAGCCAAGTTTCATACACACTTAGATTCAGATTTAGATGTAGATTGATTTTTTCACAACATTTAGTTATCTTCTGTTTATTTTTTCTGATCATTTTGTATCTTTATACCTCCAATATGTTCTGCTAAATACATTACAATACATTATTCAATTACACTCAGTATGTAACAATTTTATCTTCCTCCATGCACGTTGTTATTTTTTGGCTATTTCTCCTGTCTTATATTTCACATGCACAGAACAATTTTGTAGCAACTGAGATCAGTTGCGATCACATGATTATACATTGTATTGCGTTACTAGGCAACTGTTAGTTTGCGATCACATGACATGACGTCATCACGCACGCTAGGACGCAATTTCCGGCGTCGGTCACAGGGGCATGTCGGAGTAATGGGGTTTACACGGTGATAGGGTAAGTTTATCTGTACACATGCTATATATTGTTCGTTTTTACATTGTTTGGACATCTTGATAAAGACCGCTTGACGGTCGAAACGTTGATGTATTTTGTCTAAAATTTAATACACATTTTGTATAAACCCAGTGAGTGCTCTCATTTTTCTGGATTATATATTTTGCACTGAGAAAGCACCTTGGTCCGAATTTTTGTGCTTGAGATTTTGTTGGGGAAGAGTGCCAGAAATAGTAAGTTTTTATATATATATATATATATATATATATATATATATATATATATATATATTATCTGTATTGTTTATAATTATTATCCAAAGTAATTCACCTATCAAGTATGAATATTATGTTACCAAACATATCCTTTTTTCGTTATTTACAGTTGGATCATTTAGATCCAAAAAAGTTTTAATACATTGTGCTTTAGGGAAATAGTGAATAAACAAAAAAAAATCCTTCTTAATTAATTATCTATCCTTTTTTCCCCCTATTCCTTCTCTTTCCTTCCCTTTTCCTTCCCTTTCCTTTTCCACTTTCTCTTTTGCCTTTTCACCCTCTGTACCTTACTTTAAGCTTAGAAGATAATTATCAAAAGTTTTAAACACCTTTGTGCATGAATTTTATCTGAAGGACGTTTATCTATTACAAAGTAGTAGTCAATAAAGTTATCGTGTCATATATCTCTATTTATTGTCTAATTTTACATATTATTTTGGTTGGCAGCAAACATATATATATATATATATATATATATATATATAAACAACCATCAAAGGATTGCTAGAAATAGATTTGGACTTGAAAAAAAAAAATTAAGTAGATCTATTCACATATCATTCTGTCTATTCAAATTTTTTCAATTTCAACCATTCCACAAATTTCACATTTGAATCAAATGTCTCCCTTTAATCATCATATGTTAAACTTATCTTTAAGGAATATAGCCACCTATATTTAATCTCATGCTTTCTTAAAATTTGGGTAGCCAGACTGAAAGATTTTCTTTTCAGTCTTGTATCGTAAGATATGTCTTGAAAGACTTTTATATTATGGAAACGGCCCGGATTAGGCTGTTTTTCCCTTATGGTTTTTAGGACTAATTCCTTGAAATAATAAGAATAGAAACATACAATTATATCTCTTGGACAATCTTGTTTGAGGTTTATATAGTCTGTGGCAACGTTCTATCAATTGATCATGGTCATTTAATGGAATTCCAAGGTCCACGAAATAGTCTTTCAAGATTGGTTTTGTGTCTTCTGTTTAAGTTCAAGATCTAACATCCTACGTTGTGATTTACCACACTCATCTTTTAGATTTTTTACACAAAAGTCCATTTCATTCACTTGATCTTCAAACTTCTGCAACTTCCCCGCTAGTAAATTTATTTCCTGCTTGATTTCCACTTTCATCTCATCTGCCGTGACGGCCAATTCCTTTTTTATTTCTTCCAAATTAGCTCTCAAACTTGACTGTAATTGGGCTGTTGTAATAAGTTCTTTGTCAGTGATGATTTTTCTAGCATCTAGCTCCAGACTCTCTAGACTTGCGGTTGTATCATCCATAGAGAGTTTTGAAGTCAATTTGTACTCTACTGTATCAAAACTGGATCAAACAGACAAATGTACAGTGCTAGGAGAGAAAAAAAAAGGAAACTTAACTTAACTTGTATTGTGATAACCAGCGTTTGACTTCTTTCACCTGAAGATAGGTAAACAGTCTCTTTTCCACTCAGGGAGAACTTTATTTTTTCCTTGGCTGTCTTTTCTGTTATTCAATCGAATTGCGACGCTACTCTCTCCAGACCAACCAAGTCCACTGGAGACCATCGGAGAGAAACGCAAACCGGACCGGGCCAGCCAAAACCCCCATATAGCAGAGAGAACCACAACAGGCAGCCCATGCCCAGCGGGAGCAGCACGACTGTGGCAGAAACACTGGCAAGTTATTTTTCTGAAATATGTAGATTAACGTCTCCTCGAAGGTAGATTAAACTGAGCGTTTTAATTTTTAGCTAAAACACGCCATATATTATTCGAGGAAACAGGCCTTTATAGCAAAAAAATTTGCTTTGTTCATATACCTCCGATCAGGGATTCCCACATGCTCAAACTCCCCATAGGGACCGCCCTTCCTCTTCCGTCACAACGCCTTCAACACGTCAGCACGTCATGACGCCCAGCCCATACAAAAGAATCTTAATGACTCTACCACAGTTCTCGTTAGTTATTTTTTAAAGTGCCCAACAATGAGTGTATGGTTAGGCAGCCACAGGCTGTTCACAGTTTAGTAGACATGCCACTACTTACGGCATGGTGTGTAGGAGCGTGGATTTAACCTTTCTTTTTTACTACTACTAAGTATGTTTTACTTACATTTACCATGAATACAGTTGTCTAGCAGACCAAAATTATGAATAGAAAGAGCTTTTAGTAATTGTTTTTTTAGCTTCATAGTAGATTATTTTATTTTTTATTATCGCAATTTATATAGCGCCAACAGATTCCGTACCACTTAGTTAACTAATCCTTGTGAGATTGTTATGAGGAAACCAAAAAGAAGCTATCTACTAAAAACCTCTCTAATTTGGTATCCTTAATTATGGAAATCCGACAAGGGTACCGATTTAGTAATTTATCTACTAAATGGCTGCAAGATGCAGCCGAAGCCCACATTGGAACTTCATATGTCTAAACGAAATTCTGAAATGAAAATAATGTCTTTTTTTTGTTAGCAGTTTGGAGAAAGGGAACCCTGTGTTCAGTCTAGTATGTGCTGTGCAGGAGTGTGAGCACTGTTCCTTAACATCAAACAGTATAATGTTACAGCAGTAAATCCACCAAGCACAAAGTAATTTTGCAACACAAACACCTGTTGTTGCTGAATAAAATGCTAGTTTAAATTGTACACAATCATTCATATTCCTAATTTACAATAATAAGAAACCCACAATCATCAATGTTCTGTCCTAATCCCAGAAAGAAATTGAATTAGCACAGGGGAAGGGTTTGTATTCACCAATTAACCATCAGTAGTAGTGCCATGGCCTCTTGTTCCTGATATCGCTCTTGCCCCTACCACTCCAGACATTTGCTTGAGTGTGTCACAGGAGGAAATTGATTTATAATACAGAGAAATTTGAAGAAGAGAGCAGTGTCAACTATTTCATGCACTTGCTCATATCTATCTGCAGCAGAATCACCTCCTTTAATGGAAATGGTATTAGCTGTGTAGCTTACCAATTCCACAAGTGGTTCACCAAGTAAGATTATGCCTAACTCAACCACATCCCTTCTCATTAGCATTAGTCAAGCAAGTGGTAGTGTAGAGGCTAGTGTTGCGACATAGCAAATCTGTATTTGGACATCCTTCCAAAAGAGCAAATATTAAAGTGCAAATTGGGCAGCAAGGAAGTCAGTACAGGGAGTAAATTGTCATCTTTATAGTGCTGGTCTGTAGAAATATCAGTCTCTCCTGCTACACCCTGAAGTGATGGAGGAAAAACCCAGTTTAAAAAACATATTGCAGGCAATCAGATAATTGGTGGTAAATTAGTTAAGCTTATTACATATCATATAATAAGTTTAAATCTGTGAAACTCAGGCGTAATTGGGTATGGTCTCTTATTTACATTTTGTGTAATTCTGTGTTTCTTGCAATTTTCTAAAAAGAAAAAGTAATTTATGGACTAAATATGCTTTAACCATATTAATCATTCCCATCATCTATTTCATTCATTTTATTAAGCTGGTATCCTTAATTATGGAAATCCGACAAGGGTACCGGTTTAGATATTAAGCTGGACATTAAGCTTTTTAAGTAATAAATCATAATTATCTGAGAGGGTATGATTTAGATCAAACATTAACACCTAGATAATCATTCAAGTCTTTGCTCCAATTAAACTGAAACTTATTTTGTAGATTTTATTTTTGATTGGATGATAAGCCATTTAAATAACTTGAGTCTAGGTAGAATTAATTTATAATTAGAGTAGATGCGTCCACTAAATTTCATGTTTTTAGGTAACTAATGCTAAGTAAATATTTTATTAAGTATTTTTTACCTTGTAAATTATTTTAGATTGGTGTGTTATCACTACCAACTAGCTAGTACTGATCAGCAAGTTAAATCTGAGATAAACTGAACAATATTTATATGTATGTAATATTTTAATAGTTTTCTACACCTGTTTTTCTATTTTTTTATATAATACATCACATGACTAACTATTCCCATCAACTTATTTCTGAATTTATTGTTATTTACAAGTTATTTACAAGTTATTTGATGCTTTTTCAGTTCTTGCATTTCTTTCTGTTCTATAGCTATTCCTTCTGCAATCACAGCCATTGTTTCACATTCAGCATGCTGTTGTTAGGGTTATTGTTCATGACATAGTACAAATATTGATTTCAATATCAGTTTACAAAATAAACTTATTTGTAGCTATAACTTTAGGTGTATGAATTACCAGAAAAGTTCATCAAAGATGAAACATCAAGCTCTTACAAACCAATATGTTATTTTCTTCTTCAAAGATTTCAAAATAGAATAGAAAACCTTTGGATTTCAAAATGCCTGTATTTTCTACAATCACAATTAAGGACTTTTATTTTCAAAACTATTATCTATAATTTATTGAGCCTTCAAAAGAACTTTACTTTCTATCTCCTGCCTTGTTGCTCTTATCTTCAAGTGTAGAATTTATCCTCTATATCCTATATTTAATCTACAGCATTCAAGCACACAGTACCACAAAGAAAACACATTTCTATACCATTTCTTCTGTATAGGGGTTAAATGAAAAAGCATGGCTCAATTAGGACATTCTTAAACATCAAAGATGATTTTGCAGCCCACAAGGATGTGTGAACATGTGTTTATAACTTCATATGGCTATTTCAAATAGTATCTATGGTTTCTTCTAACAATAAAAAAAATAAATACATTTATATGAAACCTTAGGGAAGATTTAATAAAAGAAAAATAACAGTTTACCAAAGAAGACATGTTACTTTTCCCACTACTGTGAACTTTGATTTACTTCAACTGATTTGTTTATACATTTAGATAAAAACAGAACCTGCTGATTGTTCAAAACAAAATAGGCATTGCTGTTAATATGATCAGCAGGTACTGTATGTGTCCATATAGGAGAATCTATAAAAGTAGGAAAGATGCAACACCAGGAAAAGACAAAGAGATTAAAAATGTGTAATAAATATATTTGTATTTTATATTTTTGCATACATATTTCTTAATTCAAACTCATACAATTAAATATTATATAAATTGCTGTCAAAAATGTAGTTTAATGTAGTAGATAAATGTAGTTATCTCATTACATGTTTATTTTGTAGAATAAAGTATTATGGAAAATCCAAAAGGAAAGTATTTGAACACCTTCAGGAAATGGAAAAAAAAAAATATGAAACATCCTCATTGTATAGTAATAATGGTGATACTCTTGCTTTTTGATTTCAGAGGATCCACAAATCTAAAACACTAAATCTAAAACACTAAATGGGGATATGGTATGGAAACAAATGTGAAGAAACGCAAAGCTTTTTGGATATATGAGCTTAAAACTCAATGCCCCAATGGAATAAATAAGAAATGGGACTAAAATGGTATTAATCATCTTATAAGATGATTTTCCACCTTCTCTCTATTTATTATGTATATGACAGGAATCTTGATTTGAAGTTGCTATTTAGTAGGTTATGCCCAATTTGATGTTGATTTGTAATTATCATATATATGATATAACATGGCTGGATACAATTTCCAAATTATTTTGCATTTTGGAATACACTTTTAAAATATTTTTTTCAACATAATAATATATCATAAATATGTAATATATGGGGGCAGGGCTTTCCTATTATGGGTGCTGGACATGTTTCCAGCTAGCTCATCAGGAAAAGCTGAACAAAACCCTGAATCTGAATCTAACTCCAGCAATGTTTTCCAAGCGTTATGTCAACCCTCTGCTATATGCCCCAACTGAATGGTCTGGGGTACTTCAAGCGGTCTCCAGGGTATACCAGACACCAAATACTTATGTAACCAATGGGCACTGGGGAAGGAGGAGGCAGCTGATCTTCCGACCCGACGCTGACAGGGTACCAAAACTGGTAATGATACCCCACTACCGGTGGGGGTGATCTCGGTCCCCACCCTCCTGGCCCGCAAAGCCCAACAAGGACCCGTGGCAGCACCCCAGATGCTGACGATCCTGCTTGTGATGCATGTAAAATGGCGGATACCACGAGACACCTGTAACCTACGAAGAGACATTCATTCTTCACCAATTCCTGAAAGCACTCTTTGATGCTTTCTGGAGAAAGCTTGTGGAAAAGCTGACCCTACCTCCTCCTATGCCCAGTGAGACTCTCTCCAGACTGATCCAATGCCCCCCAAGCCATCCGGCTACTGCCATCAAGGGCCCAGAGTGCCAGAGATGGTGGAGGCTGCATTGGCAGCACATCGTGAAAGTGGCTGTGAACACAGCGGTATGCCGACAAACCTGGCAGCATTGCACACTCGGAACAAACATGAGGATCTTGCAGTGAGATAGAGAGAGAGGTGGGAAACTACTTTAGAGTAGAACCAGGACCCACAGCTGACTTCATCGGCTCAGAGGCTGAAGGTCCAGGCCATCTGGGACTGTGAATTCCCTGTACTCGGGATAGACTGACCACAATATTTGATCCTTCAGCTGCATATTATGATCATTTACACTGTTTAATAAATGCTCCCTCTTGTTCTCTAACAGATCTAAGCTATTTATTTTCTTGCTTATCTTTACCTGTCTATAAGCTAC